TGAATATTGGCACCTTGGTTTGATTGGCGTAACAGAGTATCCCATCTTAATTCCTTGTCATCCTGCCTCACCAGTATGATATCTGCCTTTCTTGCCAGAACACGTAACATCTCAGCTGCACTGCTAAGAGCAGAATTAAGTGGCAGAGACATCAAGGGGCTAACAATTGGTGCCCTTAGAAGCAGCGGAAAGATGGTCATGACAAAGCAGGATAACAATGACGATGAATAGGAGAAATTCAATGCAATAGAAATAACCCAGGATATATATTTTTTTTGTTTTTTGTTTTTTTTCTTTTACTGGCTACTTAGACATTCCAATTTCCAGCATTTGGTCAACTCTCAATAATCACAGTGGGTAGATTATCCACACTGTGAGCTCTGCCTGGACAATTATTTACTCTCAGGCTAAATGTGCTATCCTGTCTCTCAATTTCTAGGAACATTCATCAGCTGATTATATCTGAGTATTTCCTTTCTGTTCCTTTCATGTACAAGTAGCTGCAAGCAGATAGCAGACAAGAAGGATAGGAAAGTTAGCTGACTATAGCATGGATGACAGTCAGAAAAGAGAACATGAGAGCTCACCAAGATGCCTACCTAGCCAGGCCCTGCCTCATAGTAGGCACTCAGTAAACATTTTTTGGATTCAGTAAATGGCGCAAGTTGAGTTGGAAGGCTTTTCAGGCCTCTTCCTAATGGTCTGTGATTCCTCAGATGATGATAGAAAGCATGGAGTAGATCCCGGAGATGGGTGCTCAAACCCATCAGGAGCATGAAAAAGAAGTTGGAAAGGACGTACCTTAGGGCAAGATGGATCCCCAAAGACTAACTAGGACTGTTCCAAATCATCACACTCTAGGATGATCCTTGGTCCCAGGGGATGCCCCTACATTCCTATCCTGAATCCAAGAGGGCTAGAATGCAATTTTCTTAGGGTTTCAGATATAGACACCATCCGAAGTGAAATTCCAGGCCCTCATTTACTTAGGGAGCCTGAGAAAGGGAGCGTATGTTCAAGGAGGGGGGGGGGAATCATACTCTTGAAGTCCTAGATTTTACGATGTGGTTTTTTTTCTCCCAATATCATAGAAACACAAAATTTGGGACAAGAGAGCCTCTTAGAAATTATCCAATCCAGCCTCCAGTCCAATGGAAGAATTCTTCTTACAGCCTCCCTAACAGAAGGTCACCCAGTCTCCACCGACAGGAAGCTCACTTTCTCCAAAGACAGTGGCAAGACTGCTGCACAGCTCCCACATGGGCGGGCCCTTCATGTCAGAGTCCCATTCTCTAACCTTGTCTGCTCCCTCCTCTTTGGGGTAGTTCTCCTGACACCTGGAGTCAGGAACCACTTTTCTTCCATTTTCATTCCTGCCAGAAAATATCCTTCAATTCTTCAACTGCAGAGACCCAGTCTGTGGATCCCTCAATATGCTGCTCCCCTGACAGTAGTCTAAGGGGCCAATGTCATTCTTAAAATGGACTGGCAGGGCTCAGTGTTGCAGAGTTGAACGCAGTGGTCCAGAAGGGCCTGGCCTTCACAGAGCGTAGTGGGACTATTTTTTTCCCGCTCATTTCTAAATTTTCACAACCATCTATTTAATCATCTATTCTAGACTGATGCCAGATTGGCCCTCAAGATGACTGGTTCCTGAGACTCCAGGATCTTCTTTCATTATTTACTGGTCCTTATTTGCTTATCTTCTGCTGGCCAGCCCATCTCTTATGCTACCAGCACAGTCACATATTGTACCGCCCATTATGGCTACTGGTTTGCACTGGGTGGGGAAATACCCAGTTTTTAACCTAACTTTATCAAAATGTCTGTTCCTGCTCACCAAGAATGTTCATGTAGAGGCTCCAAATATTTGTTAAATAAAGAATTAATAAATATATGAATAAATGAACATAAATGTCACCTACAAACGATTAACAAGTCTGCCGGGTACACTCCACCCCATCAGGAGCCTGTCTTTTAGCCCCCCTGGGCCATGACCCAGAATAGATCATTTCTTCTCATCAACATCATCAGCCTAATCTAGTTATTCATTTTCGTAGTTTCCCTTCTTTCCCAAAGCCATGGCTAGGTAGAAGAGTGGCAAACACTATCTGACCTCTGAAGTTCTTCAGTTTCCCTCCTCAGACTTCACTGTCTTTGGAACAATTCTGTTTCAGGTTTTGTTTCCAACAGTAGTCCCGTGTGAACTCGGGGCCAACAGAATTAGGAAGTGATGGGTGGGCGTGACTGGTTGGTAAACTCCGCAACTTGCCAGGTGTTCACACTCCTGGTAGACAAAGACCCTCGGGACAGAAGCAGAAGGCCTCCAAGAACAATTCTTCCCGCCGAAGAAGGTGGCAACGGGATTCTTGCCTCCCACCTGCCAGAACCTGGGAAGAACCTTTTCTGTTCTCACGGGCACGGGATGCAATGCTTGGGACCACTCTCTGAGAAGCAGAGAGCCTGCATCTAGTATATTCCTTCAATGGCAATGCATGGTTTCTCCTTTTCTGTGACCTTCCCCTCAGGCCCTCTTGGGTTTCATTCCCCTCCACCCAGCAGAAATCTTTCCTTTTTAATTGCTTCCAATATATATTGTCCTGTCTTTGCTTAGCAAATCAGAATGAAGAAAAGTGTTCTTCCAATTCTTTTACCTTCTATTCTTTAGAAGGTAAGGGTGCATCAGCTGCAGGGATGCGATAAACATACCAGAAAGAAAAAAAAAGTCCCCTTCATGTCTCCTGGGACCCCAATTTCTTCTGGCTCTAAAAGAATTGAAAGTTCATCATGGGTCCTCATGAAAACTTTTCTTGTAAATTGCTTTAGAAAATGCCTAGTTTTATGCCTGTTACTAATATACTGGGGAAAGGTGCTTTTAAAACTGCTTAGCTCCTAGATGACTAAATTGCTAAATTACCTACATCAATCATGAGTGATTTAGTCCATCTCCTTGGGTCTGAGACAGATGGGAATATTTCTTCTGTACAAAGATCTCCAGGAAAAAAAACAAAAGTATGCTACTCTACTCTTCACCCAAAGACTCCTGCACTCAAAGTTTAGAAGTTCTTTGGATTTAACCCAAATCCCTTTCATTGGAACTTAAGAACTTTTATCTCTTTCCTGGCCCCCAACGGGATATCATAAAGAAAAAAAATAGACACTATTTGACATGCTTGTGCACAGTCTTCTGCTGCAGCTCTTCCGGGCTCTCCATTCTAGTCTATCTTCCGAAGAACTGGATGACTGCTCTTAAACCCCCTTTGCCACCTGCCCATCACCATCCACCGATCCCTTTACATTTGTCTCCTTCATAGCACTTTTAAATATAGTGCTTGCCTCATTGGAAACCTGCTTCAGGAACCTAATCAGCACTTACTTTTTTAAAAGATTTTATCTATCTATCTATCTATTTATTTATTTATGAAAGAGAGCAAGCAAGAGGGAAAGAGAGAGAGAGAGAGCACAAGCAGGAAGAGGGCAGAGGGAGAGGGAGAAGCAGACTCCTCGCTGAGCAGGGAGCCCAATATGGGGCTCGATCCCAGGACCCTGAGATCATGACCTGAGCCAAATGCAGAAGTTCAACCGACAGAGCCACCCAGGCTCCCCAATCAGCACTTTCAACAATTATCCAAGGTCTCCCAGCAGAGGCAGAGCTTAATATGGAGCTCCTCTCTGTACTTTACTAATTCTCCTATAAAATGCACAGAGATAAGAAGATTCCAAAGGCCCAAGGCACCACTTTTTATTTGCCACAACAAACACTTGACAGGCTCCGGCTCCACCAAGTCTAGAGAACAGAAATCTCTCTGGCCAAGCACAAGGATGGGAGAGCCCTGGGGCAGGAGTCAAGAGGGCAGAGTTCTAGGCCTGCCACTGGCACATATCGATATCCTGTAAGCAGTTCTCATGGCCACTAACCCTGTCCTAAACAGAACACAACACGTAGTCGCCTAGACTGCTTTTCAGGGCTATTCGAGCTCTCACATGTTATTTATCTCTGAGTCTACAAAGGCCTCTCCTCTCCCTTCTTAAAAGCTACAGGCCATGTCCCCAACATGTCTCTTTCCACCACCAATGTGGCCAGTACCACCCGGAAGCACTCAGAAACCAGTGTTTCTCAACCTGTTAAAACTATCATCATTCCCTGCGTCAAATGAGCTTTTTAAAGCTTTTTTTCCTTAACTACTCCATCCAATGGATTTTTTAGAAAGACTTTTATTTATTTTAGAGAGACAGAGAGAGAGAGAGCACACGTAAGTGGGGAGAGAGGCAGAAGGAGAGGAGAGAGAGACTCCCAAGCAGACTCCCCACTGAGCTTGGCCCAACTCAGGGCCTGATTCCAGGACCCTGAGATCATTACCTGAGCCAAAATGGAATGAGACGCTCAACCCACTGAGCCACCCCAGCGCCCCCACCCAATGAAATTTTAATATCATGAATATACACCTTTTTAGGTACAGTATGTCTATCTGTGCTTAAAACATAAAAGAGCAAACTTTTCACTAGCCAACCCCCCTAACCCCGACACGATTTTCATCCCCCTTGCAGGCAACATTAGCCATGTTGAAAATGGTGACCTAGATTGAGCTGAGGGCTGCATCTAGCTGTGTGACACAAGAGGAGCTATTCGCTGCAAACTCCAAAAGCCATAAACATATCCACAAGCCAGAGGTTTTGAAAATAATCCATTGCACAAGCCAGAGTGGACTCTGCCAGATTTCCCACTCTCCTAAGGAAACTGGCCACTTCCCACTCTCCTCCCCAGGCCACAGCGTCTCCCGCTCCAGGCCCTGTCCTCGCTCTCACCTCCGCCCAGGGCTCGCACTCCATTAAAATGAATCCCAGCAGTGACAATGGGAATGATGAGAACAAGGTGAACTGTGGGTGATGTTGTTCCAGGAATAATGAGAATCCACTTCAAGGGCAGAAACAACGGGGCCCCTGGCAGGATGGAGCGTCATTCGGCTCCCTCCCCCGCAGGACCTTCCCCCCCACCTCACCTTGGCACACTGGCCAGATAGGTCACGAGTTTCCGCAGGTCTTCCTGTCTTATTCTGTCATGATTGCTGCGAGCAGGGAAGGTCAGGATGGGTCCGCCTCGCTTATCACGGCCCCCTGCAGGGAGGAAGAGGAGAGCAGTTAGGAAAAACAGCCAGAAAGTGTGGCGAACAGGAAGAAGGAGTCCGGCTGAGTGTGGATGGCAACAGGCAGAAACACTGCACCCAGGGAAATGCAGTCACTGCTTAGGTGAAGGTGTGGGATCTGGGTATGGTTCACCTGTGTGACCCTGGGCAAGTCTTCTGACTGCTCTACTAGCTCACTGCAAAGTGCAGATGAAAACAACGATGAGCATTTTACAGGGTGGCCGTGAGGACTGAGCACTTTGAGATGCACAGCTCTCTACCAGTGGGAGATGATCAGGAAGGCGGCGATGCCTCCTCTTATGGAGAACACAGCTGTGGGCTTTGGAAATTTAACCTTCAGTTTGCTTCTCTTCGCAGATCTCCGTGAGGCAGAAGTGTTCAGGATTCACTAGGCTACCGTGGTGAGAAAGCCATCCATCCAAGACATCACTGCTCGGAGGGTTTTAGATTCATAGAATAGATGTTAAGTGTTCTCCGCACAGCCAAAGATCCACCCCTGCCTGCCTGCCTGCCTGCCTGCCTGAGGTGCCACCTGTCAGTCCTGCTGGAGGAGCACAGGAATCGTTATCAGAAACCAGGATGCTCAAGGTCTTAATCACTGCAAATGCATATGTACGCACTATGATTATAAATGTTTTCTAAATATCACATTAAAAAAAAAGCAGGAAGGAGTATAGTGAAATGATGATCATTGTTGCCATTAGGTTAGGATTTCACATGGCTGTTTTTTCTTTCCACTTTTTTCCTAAATTTTCTATTCGCTATTTATTGTCATCATTTAAAAATGTATTCCTTAATGGGCACCATGATTAGGAAGCAGGACCAAGTTTCTCAGGAGGGTCATGGGGGACAAAGTTAAGGTATGCCTTTACAGGCACTGGTTATTACACAAAGAAAACCTCTGTGCCATGAGCACAGAGTCCTGCACACATCCCAGGCTGCTCCCCGACACCCTCCAGGGTGGGGACCACAAGGGCATGTACTACAAGGAGGAGGCATTGGCATGGCCATCACCAACAGTGGAAAAGAAGCTTAAAGATCAGCTCCCTGAAGAAGGAGCTCTCTCAATGAAAGAAGGAGCCTCCCAGAGTCCCCACCCAAGTGTGGGCTCATGAATAATGGTTCCCTCTGGTTGGGGGGTCCTGAAGCCATAGACAGAAGGGAGGCATGACAAACAAAATCCGAACATTTCCAGAATACTCTTGAAGAAGAAATAAGAAGGCCGCAACGAAAAAAATATCAAACAAGATCAGGGCCACTGAGAAATTTGCCCTGATGGAAAAAAATGTTTCAGCAGTACCACCACCACCCCCAGCCCCACACTGGAGCAGATTTGTGTAGATATACCACAGAGTTGGACCTGAGCCCCCAGCTCCAGACCTTCCATACCACAGGCCCTAGTTCTTTGTATGAATAGCCACCCCCAACTCATCTGCCTTGGAAATGATCCCCACCTCCCCACTGCCTTCCACATGAAGAAAAGGAAGCAGAAGGATTAGATGGAAGGTTTCCCAAAACTAGGAGCATCTCCCATACCCTCACCCTTCCTCTCTAGCCTTGACCCACCCTAAGGATTTTCCACTCTTGGACGGTTTTAACTGCAAGTTTCTGCCTTTCTTCCTGATCTTCCACGGACACCGTAGAGCCATGAGAACATGGGGAGCCAAGGCTGGTCTGCTTGGCAAAGGCTCACTAAGGAGCTTGGACGACTATCGACACTGTACTTCCTAAGCTAGAGCCAGTTCTGCCCTTGGAAACAAGAGTTTCATAAATATGGCTGGGCAAGGTTCCAGATGGCAGAGGAGGGGGAAAGAGGGGAGAAAGCCTGGAGCAGTACAGCCCCCACCCCCTTCAGGAAGCATGGATAAGGATTTGAGAAGGGGCAGCAGGATCAGCCAGGTGTTTGTCAGAAAGGAGATAACCTTGTAAGAATAAGGATGTCGGAAGCAGAAGAGGAATGAGCAGAGAGAAAAAGCCATTGTGCTGGAAAGAGTGGGACCATGGGTAGACGAGGCCTCAGAGCGGGTGCAAGGGGAGAGAGGTCCTGCCCCCTTCTCTGAAGCAAACTGATAGAAATCAGAGAGGGAGGAGGAAACAGATAAATTAAGGAGAGGGATGAAGTCAGCCTGCCTGGGAGACATTGTTCTTCAGGTAAAATAGCAAACTAGCCCACCTACCAAGAGCCAGGATAGGCTTGAGGTACTGGGAAAAAGGAGAGCAGACCGTCACTGGTCAGCATCCCTAGAGGACGAAGAGCAGGACTGCGTTGAGGTGGGCTAAGAGGGATGAGGCAGGGACCTCGGGCATGGTGAGAGCTCCGTTGGGGTCTAGCCATAGTGTCCATGACAGGTTCTCACTTGAGTGAAGGCAAATCAAGCTAGTGCCTGCATAAGTGGGGAGGGCCCACAGAAGGGAGGAAATGTCTTGCTGGATCATGAGCTCCCGGGGAAGAGGGGACAGCAGATGTTTTGCTCATCTGCTGTCCATCCTTTCCCAATGTATAGGGGAATATCAGAAAGGATCAAAGGTAAGGGACTAAGGCCATAGACACAAATGTCAGAGTTAAGGTCTTGGACACGCATAGCCAAGGTAAGGAGGTGGAAAACCTTGGTACCAAGAAGGCTGAGCCGCCATGAATATGTAGGAGAATGGATCACTGACATGGGTGCTGCAGTTACAGAGAGTGATAAACAGAGATGAAGAATGAGAACCCCCTGCTGACGTCAGTGTGCATTATGGAGGTGGGTCTGAGAGGGTGCAAGACAAAAGTAGCCAGGCTTTGAAAAGGCAATACAGATGCTCGCAGAGTCGTCAAAAGAGCCATTCCTTCACTCATCTCATTCCTGCTGTGGGCCTGCCTGTGTGAGGCTTTGGTTCCAGGAGCTTCAGGACAGAGATAAAATGGAAGAAGGAGGAGGGGACGGACGGTCTGATGTTCTAGAAGTGACATTGATCCCCTTCCCTAGAGGAGGGCAGGACAAGGTCGGGGAAGAGACAAGGCTAAAAGCAGGGGCAGTTAAGGCTTCCCTGATTGAGCCAGAAGAGGGACAGTGCTCAAAAATTTCAGGGGCTATCAGGCTCCAGTTAGGGCAACTGGGGAAGGCGGGGAGTTGGAGGGTAGATGGAAACAAGAAAATGCATCAAGGGAATTAAACCAAAAGTTTGGTCCATGTAGTAATAGTTCTGCAAGATGTCAATGGATATATACGATTTTTTTTTCCCCCAAGGGAATGAGGTTACTCTGTAGTTCGGGAGATGGTTTCATGTGTTTAATAGACATGTGCTTTCATGAACATGGCAAACCTCCAGGAGGCAGCTATGATATGCATTCCCACACTTAGGAGTATAGAACCCCTTTTTCTTCTTTTGAGGCTCATCTTGTGGGACTGCTGTTCTATGGAACACGCTTTGAGAGACCTGGGTCCAGGTCTCTGCTCTGCCCATAAGATTGTGGCACAGCAGCCACACAGATAACGTTGGTAGGAGATAAGGAGGCAGAGAGGGACATCAGGGGTGGCCAAAAGGAGGGTGTGAGTGCACAGAAAGGTCACAGAGGTGAGATGAGCTCTGTACAAGCAGACTGGATAAAAGGCACAAATGGGTGCTGTTCGGGGGGGGGGGCATGCATGCGCTCAGAAGAAGCCGGAGGGGGCAAAGGGGCAATGCCCAGGTCTTGAATGCAGAGCAGGATGGCCGGGCTGGAAAGACAGAGGCTCCCTGAGGCACAGCCACAGATCCTGTCACACTCACGTGCACACACCCACATGCAGAAGCTGTAGGGCTGTGCTGGATTATTCCAAATGTGCGTTCCCATGGCAGCACAGGCTCCTTTTCCCTGGCCACGCTGGGGGCACTGGCAGAGGAGGGCAGGCACAGCCAACGGTTTGCTTCTCTGCTTGCCACCTTCCTGCTCAGAAAGAAATGCGATTGCTACACTGCATTATTTAATTCTGGGTTGTTTTGTTTTGTTTTATTCTTGTGTTTCTTTTCTTTTAAAAGCTCAGGATATAAGAGGCTTTACTGGTTTGTTTCCTGTTTCTGTTATTGTTATTATTATTATTATTATTTTTTAGATGCAGCCAGCTGTCTCCCTAGCATCCTCAGCATCCGTCGCCAGCATGGAAAGACAACGTTCCCTAACTCCAAAAGCTCCTGGCACCATGCACAGATGAATAAGACTGCTCAGCCCACATCAGTACAAGGGAGTGAATGCACACCCACAGCCCCCTTGCTCCTGCCCTGGCAGACTTCTACCTGCCTCGTGCTGGACGTGCTGGACGGCCTTCCTGGGTCCTTGCTCCTGTGTGCTCCCTTAGGACAACTCTCTAGAGTTGGGCTGGCTGGGCCCCCGCCTCAGGGCTTCAGCTAAATTTACATGAGAAAAGACAAGGCTTGGGGGCAGCCCAGGTGGCTCAGCAGTTTAGCACCGCCTTCGCCCAGTGCGTGATCCTGGAGGCCTGGGGATCCAGTCCCACGTGTCTGGCTCCCTGTGTGGAGCCTGCTTCTCCCTCTGCCTGTGTCTCTGCCTCTCTCTCTCTCTCTCTCCCTCTCTCTCTCCCTCTCTGTTTCTCATGAATAAATAAATAAAATCTTTTTTAAAAAAGAAAAAAAACAAGGCATGAACAATCAAACAAGGGTTCCCATGTCAGAATGTACTGTATCTGCACTCCTATGTCCTACACTGACGCAGGGAAGGATGGTGTTCAGAGGCTCTGCATTCAAGCCAGAAAGGCCTCCTGGAGGAGGCAAAGTAGAAACTGGCTTGGGAAGGAGAGGAGAGGCTCAAGCTGGCAGAAGGTATGGATAGAGCACTGCAAGTAGTGCTTGTTTGGGCACAAGAGAAATGCGAGGATTAGCAGGATACCCAGGGCATCAGGTTAAATGAGGCTCAGGGCCACAAGGAGGAAGAAGAAGAAACGAAGTGATGGGGCTCTACTCTGGAGCAGAGAGTCAGCAGTAGGGGCCTGCGGGCCACGTCCTGGAAGGCAGCGGCTTAGCGCTGCCCAGTGGCCCCCGGGACTTCCACGCAGGGTCCTCCCACATGTCCAGCAAGCAGCAAGCACTCCGATCCAGGCGTACAAAGGCTTTTCAGGTTGTTTCACTACACTTCTACCCACCCTGAAGTCACTGCCCATGGTCCCACCAAGGGGCGGTTCAGCCTGTGTTGCAACACGTTCAGTGACGGCTTCACTACCTGCTAAGATGTGTAAGCACCTGACACTAAGGGGGAAAGGCAGCTTCTCAGTGTCATCTCGCGGCCACAACAGTAAAACACAGGTATCACTACTGCTGCTGCTGCTGCTACAAATGATAGCAACAATAACAACAAGGAGTGCATTTAGTACGTTAGGTACCCCCATCACACACTCTGCCCTCACCTCCCATCTCCACACTCTGAATCATCAGTGTCTCACCTTCCTCTCAGTAGGCAGGAGGCCCCTGCTGCTTGGTCTTTCCTCCCCCCAAGCCCCTCCCTCCTCTCTCTCTTTCTTCTCTCCATTTTCTCTGTTGCCCATCAGCCAAGCCAAGCAGCACCTGGGGAATGAAGCCACATACTGTGGGCTGTACTTGCTCTTTCCCTTTGATTCTATCACCACTCCTTGTAGACAATCAGGATTATCCAGAAACAAAGGCCCAGTCCACAAGGCACGAGCACTGGGGTGTGTTTCTTTCAATGTGCTCCTTGGTGGGGCATTGCCATCAGGCCAGCCCCTGCTGGAGAGTCTATAATGGAGGCCTGCGATGGAGCCCAGAGTGACGCTGGTGCCCCGGTAGCTCGCCTTCAATTATATCACAGGCCACCAAACTGAAAGGTCCAGATAGTAAATAATTTAAACTCATGGTCATCTGGGCTCTGATGAAACTACTCGGCTCTGCTGTTGTTGTTAGCAAGTAGCCACTGACACCGCCCGTAGCAGGCTGAATAGCAGCCCCCCAAAATATCAGGCCCTAATCCCTGCAACCTGTAAATGTTAGCTTATTTAGAAAAAAAGACTCAACAGATGTGACTACGTCGAGGCTCCTGAGATGGGAAGATTATCCTAGGTTATGTGAGCAGGCCCTAAATGCAGTTACAGGTATCTTCCTTCCAGGGAGGCAGAGGGAGATCTGATACAGACAGGAGAGGAAAAGGCAATGTGACCACAGAGGCAGAGATGGGAGTGACATGGCTGCAAACCCCAGAATGCTGGCAGTCACCGGAAGCTGGATGAGGCAAGAGGCAAGCTCTCTCTTAAGAGCCTCTGGAAGTTGGGACGCCCGGGTGGCTCAGTGGTTGAGCATCTGCCTTCAGCCCAGGGTGTGACCCTGGGGTCCTGGGATCGAGTCCCACATCGGGCTCCCTGCATGGAGCCTGCTTCTCCCCCTGCCTGTGTCTCTGCCTCTCTCTCTCTGTGTGTCTCTCATGAATAAATAAATAAATACTTTAAAAAAAAAAAGAGCCTCTGGAAGTAGCACAGACCTGCTGACACCTTAGTTTCAGACCAGCAAATTGGATTTTGAATTTCCAGCCTCTCGAACCATGAGAGAATACATTTCTATTGCTGTATTCTACCAAATTTGTGGTAACTTGTTACAGCAGCAATAGGAAACTAATACTACCTAAACACATGCACGTGGCTGTGTTCCAATAAAATTTTACTTATAGAAACAGGTGGCTGGCTCACAGGCTATAGTTTGCTGACCCCTGAATCAGACATCAAAAGATCCAGGTGCACAGATGAGTTGGAGAAGAAAGTCGGAACTAAATATTTGCAAGTCATGATTCAGAAAAATAAATAAATGAATACAAACACTCAACAGAGTTCCCTTTGCCAAGAAGGAAAGATAAAGAGGAGCTAGAAAACATTTTAATCCCCTACCCATGATCGGCTCAGAGATGAACCCAAATAAAACCTCTGGGAATGTGTGAGGTAAACAGACTCCTCCAGCTGGAGCAGCTCCCATAGAGGCCCACGAGGGACCTGATAGGCCTGGGAGGGTGGGGTGAGGTCAGGTGTATGGTTGTGAACGTCTCCCAGAGCACCCAGCTGGGATCCAGGCTCTCCCTCCTCTTTCTGACTGTCCCTGGAGCAAGGATGCAGCCATCCACTCCAAATGCCACCCACTCCCCCAACTTCTCTCTCACACACCAAGAAGTGATTGCTTACACGCATGTGCGTATACACCCTTCCAGGTCCCTTTCAGACCAAAGTTCCACAGACACTCACCAGACACGAAGGCCACTTTTTCCTTTAGGATAGGAAGGACATCAGAAGCTTTCAAACCATCATTCCGAAAAGACCCTGTGGGATGACAAAACAGAAGGAATCAGGATGAAAGAGGTCAGAGGGATGAATCCCTGGGTCCCTCCCTCAGCGGCCCAACCCCATCACACGCCAGAAAGTTGTGCCTTGTTCAGGTGCTACAGCCCAGCCCAGTGGGACAGGAGAAGGTCCACAACAGATAAGACACTTCCACATGATGCCAGGCTACAGAGTGTCCCTTCCAGGGAGAGGACGGTCCAGGTTGCCCCCACCACATATACAAAGCTCCGTGCCTTGCAGGCAACAACCACAGCCCTGCAACTTGACGACGGGGCTTTTTAAAAGCCACTTTTGTACCTCTTTGCCTAGCATGGTGTCTGGTACACGGTAAGCACTCAGTAAATACCAATGGAACAGGATAATTAATATCAAGATGGACCACAATGCCCTAAATAATTGTGTTTGCCTTTCCTCTACCTGGCACAGTGACTCTTAGTTTTCACTATACAAATTATACAAGCAAATCACAATATCCCCAAGTGGGAAGCAAAGTTGAATGCAATACCCTTCTTCCTCCTCCCCCTCAATGTCACCCTCACCAGTCCACAACACACAGGAGGTGGGGAGACATCAGTCTCCTGGGAAGGAAATGCACTCCCTTCTTCAGCAATTCATTCTCTGCCTAAATTTTGCTCCTCAGCTTCAAAGTCCCCTCTGGGGTCCAGCTGACTTCCTGTTAGGGGGTTGGAGGCAGAGGCCTGTGGCTCACATAGAATGGAAAATAATGATGTGCCACGAGAAACAATAACCTCAAAGGACAACCCAACCTGGTGAGTTCAAGGCACGTGGGAAGAGAAGCCCCCTCCACCACCACACACACACATATAAAATCCCAGGTCGGCCCACTGCGCCCTTACATTTAACCCAAGCACCCTACAAGGACTCGCAGGGAGAGCCAGCCCACACTCTGTGAGCTGTAACTGGAATCTCTGCTGTATATCAGCACGAGGCTATCACACACAAGGATCCCAGAGGAGAGGAGGTTCTGTGTCAGCTCAGTGAAACAGAACCAGAGACCACGGGCAACCGTCCTAGTGCCTTTCCTCACTTGGCTTACTCCCTCACAGTCCCAGTTTGACAATCTGCAGAGAAACGTACTGGGAAGGATGGTCCCACACAGGACTTTCTTAACTTCTAAACCCTTACTGCTTCAAGAGACTCACCTGGGAATTCTGGTAACAGCCCAAGATTAGAATCACTGGCTTAGGGAAGGGAAATGAGCCAGTTGCATGCTCCACCAAAGAGGAGGTAAGATGTGTCTCCAGTTTCCATACTCAGGGGTTATGTCCTGACCCCAAACAAATTTCCAAAGTATCTCTGACCATTTCATCTATTCCTTCTCCATTTCTCACTACATAAATACAGTGAGCCTTTTTATTCATCATTTGCTTCTCTTTACAAGCTGGCCCACAGCACCCAATGCCAGAAGAACCCCCTCCAAGGCTCACTCTGAGAATGAAAAAAAAAATGACAAAAAAATTAAGAAAAAACAACTCCAACTATAAGCATTGTTTTGTACAGATCTTTACACTCTTTGTGTCCCAACACAGGAGAACTTAAATCTCACTAGTAGAAACCAGTTAGGATCAATGTAAATTATTATAGAATTTACAAATATATAGGTTTTTTTTTTCAGCTTCATGAAATAAGATGTTTCAGTTTCCTTGGCAGGTAAGAGTCCTATGTGGCTGCACCAAGCAGACAAGGATCATCTCTAGCTGATGCGTGAATTGTTTGTGTAGAATGATGCCTCTGTTGTCATATATGAAATATATGTGTACATCAGTTTTAAGACATTCTCCTCTATATCACTACATACACTAGTAATTGCTATAGGAAAAAAATTATAAGAAAAGTTCAACTTCAGTCCCGTCTACTTCCAGATTATTTATAAATCCAAAAAGATCAAGGCTTGGGATTTCTGGGTGGCTCAGCGGTTGAGCGCCTGCCTTCAGCCCAGGGCGTGATCCTGGAGACCTGGGATCAAGTCCCACATCAGGATCACTGCACAGAGCCTGCTTCTCCCTCTGCCTGTGTCTCTGCCTCTCTCTCTTTCTGTGTCTCTCATGAATAAATAAATAAAATCTTAAAAAAAAAAGATCAAGGCCCAAATGAATGAGATTTTACTGTATGACAAGAATCCACACAACCTTCTCTCCAAAACCCCTGTCCTATTTTTCCTACTGGTCTTCCTCTCCCCTACTTCCTTTAAAGTATGCAAGATGGCTTTAATTCCATGAAGTCCCCAGACATTAAGGAAGACCTCGGAAGTTGCTATAATGGAAGCAAAAGGTTCCCTCACCTACCCCCTCATTGCTTCCACTCCCGGAAGGAGAGCAAGAAGGAGCTCTGATTCCATCCTCCAGCCCACTCATCGTGCCCCACCTGTTTCTTCTCCCCTCCAGACTCCAGGGCCTGAGAAAAAGGCAGTGGCTTGTCCCAGCAGCTTGCAACCATTGGCAATTGGCTGGAGTAAATGTCAGTATCTTGGGTTGGGCTGGTCCAAGATTCGGAGGGCTTCCTCTTCCCAGGCCAGAATATTCCCCGGTCCAGGGGAGAGCACAGCTGAACTACCTCCCAGGTTGTGAGCCTACCATAAGAAAACCTAAAGTATCTAGATTTACAAAATCCTTAACTTGGGGATAATCGTTTCCAACAACAATAAGATTTTTCACATTATAAAAGGATTTGCTCCAGGGTCTCTTTAAATAAAAGTTGCCTTAATGGTTTGAATTAGTTTTTCATTTGCCAAAAATTGAATTACAAACAACTTTTCAACGATGTATGCATTATGTAAAGCCAAGTAGAGCTAAACTAATTAGGCCAGCAGCTCAGAAGTTGGCGACCTTGAGTAGAAAACCTATTTGCTCTGGCTGAAGGTCCTATGTATCAATTCCCCCAGGCCCTTGTGAAACCAGCTGTGGGGCTCTAGAATAAAGGGGAAGTCCATTGAACACGAATTCAAACAGGACCAATGAAATAGCAACATGTTTTCACTATCAGGTACATGTCTGGGCAGACTCATAGAAAATATTCAATAAATATTTGATGAAAGGATAAAGAAATGAATGAAACGGTAACCCTTTCTCAAGTGACATGCGCGAGGTCAGTGGCCTCATCTGTCACACCAGGTGCTGGTGATCTGCGTAGATGATCTCAGCTCTGAGAGTCTGAGACTTTTTTAAACCTTTTCTTCATATTTATTGGCCTTTCAGATCCTCGGATTATCAGATCAATATGCTTTGAGAGAAAGTCCTGGAAACGAACTCCCTAACAAGGTTCAGTGTGCTTTGGGAAGATAAAACAGCTCTTCGCTGGCCTCCCAGGGTGTTCTTTTCCAGGAATCAGCTCAGGAACTGGGATGCCCAAGACACTTCACTCCATTGTGCGGACATCCCAAGGTACCAGAATGGAAGGCTAATGATGGGAGAACTTCTGTAAGGCATACACACCTCGGAGGAGGCAGGCCGACCTGACCTGCAATTCCTATCTCTGATACAAGGTATATTTGATAACAGCACTATTACCCTACAGACTCTAGACCAACCACAGATCAGCTTCCCCCTTTCAAAGAAGTGCCTGTTGAAACAGCAGGCCCCTTGCTAGCTCTCAAGAAATCCTGAGAAGAAATTAAAGCCCTGGTGCCTTTGGAGTTACTGTAGGAAAAAAAGAACCAGAGGGCACCCTCATGGACCTGACCCAATGTGAGTTCCGTGCTCTTAAGGACAAAGGCATGCTTCGCTGGCATTCAGCACTAATCCCACCCCATTTGTGTCCTGCTGCTGTCAGAATTACAAGCCTGCTGTTCGGTTAATTAGCAAAGTTGAAATGCTCCACATCTATTAGGGAAGTAAAAATTACCACCGCCGTCTCCCCAGGATCTCCAGCATGGAACTTCTCGAAGCCCCACTTTTGCCTCTTCCTTGCTCCAAACGTGTTATGCTTCCATTGCTGCTGCCTGTTCCCCTTCACTTTTCCTAGTCAGCCTTCCCCATGCGGGAAAGCGCCCACCTCCACCACTCTGGCTCCCAGCTTCTGCAGGGTCCCACGTGGCAACAGTAAGGCTGGCCCTTGGGTCAAAGGCCTTCCATCGGCTGCTTCATGACTCCGAGAAGGCAGTGAGTACCCCAGGGCCACTGCATGCATTGGGCTCCATGCTAGCCTCCTCCAGGAAACGATGCTGATCTCAACAAGTGAAGACACAAGCAGCTAAGTGTTGAGCATTTGGAGGTGCAAGGTGCTAGGGTACCTAACCCATACATTGCTCTTTATTCCCTTTTCGTTCTAGGCCACACTCCCTTAATGTGCACTCACTCTAAGTATTTTAATATTATCTCATTGCCTCAAGTGGGCCTGACCCTGCTTCACCAATGCTCAGGCAGGCCTCGGCCTCCTCTTTCCACTCCATCCCTGTGTGTCCGGCATGGAGGTCCTGAGTCACCAACGGACTGGTGCACAGAAGATGTTTAGTTTACAGTTGAGAATTCGAAGAGCTCATGAGGTGGAGCCTTAGTCTGGGCATAATTAGGACTGTTTCCTCTTTCAGAGTCATTCTTTCATCAATTCTTCAGTGAGCACCTATTACATGCTATGCCTTATGTGAGGCATGGCGGTACTCAGACAAATAAGCAGCAGATCCCACTCTCCAGGGGGCTTGCAGGCAGAGATAGGCAGCTATACAGATAGGACAGTGAGCTGTTATCCGAGATAGGACATCACCTGAACAGAGTGCAAGGGAGCTCAAAGGAAAGGTGAGCCCTAAAGCCTCGCTACTCAAAGTAACAAGTATCACCTGACCAGCAAGGACCTTGCTAGAGATGCCAAATCTAGGCCTCATCCCAGACCTGCTGAATCAGAACCTGCATTTTAACAAGAAACGCCAGTGACTCATATACACGATGCATTTAAGGAAGATCTATACACTAAAGTAGGTCTTTCTATTCCAGAGTTGCCTCAGAGACAAAGATAGGTAAAAACAT